TTAATAAAATGAAATCTAGTGAATTAACATTTTTTCGTACTTCAATGTCACCTCACAACTAAATATAATACAAGATTTTATGTTTAGAAATAAAAAATAAATTCTAAAATAAAAATATTAAAAATAATTTATTCATTTAAAATTTATTTTTATTATGACACTAATGAACCTTTTAATTTTATTTTTTATATTTTTTTTATTTTAAAATAAAAATTGGAGCAAGGTCAAACTCATATAATTTACTTTTACACTTGTACCAACTCTTGAAAGAGAATGTATTTTATAAATTTATCCTTTAACAGGAAAAGTTAATGGAATCTTCATTTTTTTTTTGAAATCTAATTTTGGTTTTTAAATTATAATAAAATTATTCTATACAAATTTTCCGACCACAAATACTAGTACTCTTGTTAGTAGTTTATGTATTTCCTGAGGCAAATATAAAACAAAAATTTAAAAAGTTCAACAACCTCTTGCGCTTATTCATAAGATTTATTAAAGTTAGGTTATAAAACTATCGAAATTCAAAATAATCATCATTAAAAACGAGGTCGCGACCATTCATGAGCAACTTTTGTTATAAAATTAACGTAGGTAATGGAACTATATGCAAGGCGACCAGAGATCTTACGCTATAGTAGCTGCGCTAACCTAATCTAACCTAATATAATGTAGGTAAAGTACAGAATAACTACTAGAATTTCACAGAAAATTCGGTGTCGACCGTGCTATCCCATGAAATTTTTTTAAGCCGAAAGTTTTATGGATTAGGTAGACTACCTGTTTTCAAAATCTCCAACACAAAACTACTGAATTCTTAAATTGCTATATTTTTTGCTTCACAAGAAAGAGAGCAGTTTTATTCTCTAAAATAAATAAATTATTAGTAATTCAGTTTAAACTTGAGTTCATTCACATCTGCTTTCACACATAATTTGTACATACTTTATGACCACAACACCTAAAGATTTCATAAGCAAAAGCATAATAAATTTTACCAAAAAAAAACTCCTAAAATTATGCAATTTAATTTTTCTTTTTTTTTTTATAATTTTAACCTAATTCAATTCCAAGATATTCTTAACAAATCTATATTTTATGGTTGGGTTATACAAATATGCATATTTATTAATTTTACGATAATACTGTTCTATTTAAACTATGGTGTTTAAATTTTTATCTTCTTTTATTAACTCAGTACATACCATAGATTCTGTTGCAAATTAACCACTTTTGAAACCAGATTTCTTCAAGATTTTTAATTTTGTGTTTTACAAGAATATGAATTACATGCACAAATGGTACAGAGTGTGCTCTAATTACAAAGAAAATTAAGCCACTAAAAAGGCCACCGAGTTGGCAGTGAGAGGTAGTATGTCAACTGAGGTCGCCACCATTTGTGTGGAAAGCAGGGTTCTTGAGACGCTGAACACTGTTAAATCTGGATTGATGGGGCGTGCAGGTGGTGGTTTGGTGAGACGGCTTTAAGTGCTTTAGTCGAGCTATATATAGTAACGTTGTTCTCGATCCCAGCGCACAGTAGTATCAAAAGATATTATAGGCCGACAAACTCGCGAGGTTTAGGAATGAGATCGGCATTTCGGCAATGGACTGTTTTGCGGTTCCGCCCCTAAGGAAATTGAAAAACATTATAAATGTGGCAACAAGGGGAGGGGGGAGCTTGCTTAGAACGGTGCAAGATTGAGAGATCTGCTGACATTGAACAGGGTGGATCTCAGTATTTTCCGCCATTTGTTAAGTGAGAATCATTAAATAACACACAAATATTTTCTCTGTATTTTAAGTTTTTAAAAATAATTTAAAAAAAACTAATCTAGTGTGCGGAACACTCTCTACAATTTTATTAACACAATACATGCATAAATAATAAATAAACACCTATAAAATATTTTATTCTCACCAAATTTATATAAAATCATAAGGTAAAAATGATTCTTTAGAATTTAAAATTTATTTTATCCTTTATCTTTCTTCTTTTTTTTAATGAATTTCTCTTTTTACTTCTTTTTTCTTTTTTTAAATATTTAATAAAAAACATAATGTACCCACACATAAATATATTTTATTATACAAAAAATCTTATACTTAATATAACAGTTTAATAAAAATCTGTAATAATAATGTGCACCTACATATTATCATGTATGTATGCAAAAAAAAAAGCATCCTATTTTTCGTTTTAGATAAATATCTAAGGACATCATCATAAATTATGTATAACGTATGCATATGTATGCATTCTTATATGTATGAAACATATTATAACACATCCTCTACATAGATTCATATATATTGTGCACAAATAAATTTTTGCATACAGCTGCTGAATATATTATTAAAGTATGTGTAATATGGAGTGTATAGTAAAACATATGTATGTATGTATACTGAAGAGTACGGTGTATAACTAAGTATTTATGCAAATATTTTGAATTGCAATTTCTCTCACGTGAGATTAAGCAAATAGGTATAAACCCATTGTAAAATACTTTAGAGACTTTTCATATTATAATAATATGTAAATATATATAAGAGATTTTATTTACTTACATTCGTTTTATTTTAAAGCAAGAAAAATTTTGTACTAAATAAAGAATTTGAAATAAATACTAGTGTGCATATGCGTGTATTCGAAAGAACACTTACGTGCATATACAATACACATTCATATGCTCATAGATAAAATGGAAAAGAAACTGTAATCTCTTTTTTTCTTTTTTACCCTCCCATCTCTTTCTACTTATTTATTTATTTAAATTTTTTTTTTTTGAATATTTTTGAATAATAGAGCATACAAATTGCACATATTTTATATTTTCTATAAAATTTAACTATAAGTTAGTATATGTGTGTCTGTGTACAATAATATATAAAAGTGTTCTTATAAAGGATTAAAAATCAAGACATTTTAGATGATTTTATTTAATTTTTTTTTTTTAAGATTTATAATATTTTTGTATGATAGGAACAATAATATAAAAAAGAAAAAGATGGTAATATATCATATTCATTTCCTTTTGTTCTTGTCTTCTGCAAAAGATTCAAAGAAATCTTAAACAAAAACCGTTAAGTTAATGTGTGCTTACTTTAAGGTATTTCTTTAAAATTAGGGATTAAACGAAGGATTTATTTAATGAAATAGATAGGACCACAACACTTGATATCAACGCTGAATGAGGAAACCCAATTTTTGTTAAAAATACACTTTTGTTTTCTTAAGAATGCCAAAGTTTTTGAAGAACCGCTCTAACAGAGGTATATTTTGTTGTCATAGACCAAATGTCCGAAAACTCTTAAATCTGTTATGAGAGCTGAATAAATTTTGGTTAACCGACGAAATAATCTTATGGAATGATTAAAAGAATTAAATTTTTGAATAAATGTATAACTTTTCAATATTACAAACGAGGTAAAAATTATAGCAGGGTCATAAATATTACATTGTTCATATTATTATCAACGTATAATTGGAATATCACTTTGTTTTAAGTTATTTCAAGTCTAATTTTAAGTACTGAATAAAAAATTTAATACTAAAAAATCCAAGAAAAATATTTATTAAAATACGATTTTTCGAAAAAAAAAGCTCTTCATTTTTTCCTTTTGAAAACCTGAAATAATCGCATTCTTTTTATATCCACTTCAAAAAGAAAACAGATCAAAAATTGAGATCAGGTTTTTTTTATCATAAAAGCAGCTTATATATTTTTTATTTTTTTAAATTTTAAGAACATATTAAGTTTGAAATATTGTTCGAATGTGGATAATATTCAATTTCAAGAATATGGATGAAAGTTTTCATTTATTCTGAAAAAACATAAAATTTTAAATCGTACGAGACAAATTTAAATTTTAAGAGTTTGAATTCGATATTTTTTACACTAAATTCTGCACGTATGCGTTTTTTGTTCTTCTATATTTCTCATCTTCGTATATTAATATATTATAATAAAAAATTTCTCACAGACTTTTGAAGATTGTTCTGGTATAAAAATGTGTAAACGACTCTCTTCTAAGAATATTTAACAAAAAAAAAGAAATAGCAATTATTTTTTTTTAACAAACTGTAAAAGAAAAATCTGAATTATGATATTCTCTCATTTGTCAATATATTTATTTGATTAACAATTTCACGACCTATATCCTACCGAATCTTCCCCCTCATAAAACTAGATAAGTTGTACTTTTTTCATATTGCTCATAAGGAGGAGTACATGAGGAATTTTGAAAAACTTTGTTTCCAGTTGAAAAATGCTCATATAACAAACAAAGTGGTAATAAACCAGTGAGTTAGTTGATCGACACAAAATTCTTCGAATGCTTAATTGATGGGCATTACCTAAATATAGTGTACCAATATTATAAAAAAGTATAAAATTGATCTTCCGAACATATTCGAACATACATATTTGAATTAATTTGCAAACACAATTTTTTGTTAAAACTCAGCGATCAAAAGCTCTAAATGCTTGAATTATAAATATAAAATATTACAAAATATTTATTTATTTATTTTGTTGAAATCAATTAAACAAAAGTTTCTGTTTAGAATTTAATCTTGTTAAATTGTTATTTTCCTATATAAATAAAATAAAATCCACAAAATTAAGTTCCTTATCACTTAATCCTTTCATTTTTGTTGTGATGAATTTTTTCAATATTTTATACACACAAATCATATCATTTTCCCGAAAAATCTTTCCCCCCCCTTTTAATATTTATGAAAATGCACAAGTTTGTTTTTACTAAAAAAAAAGTTGTTAAATAATTTGAATTTCTTGTTCTCCACAGCACACCACAACCTATACAAAGTGTTACTGTTGAAATTGTATAGTTATATTTGGAAAAAATTAGAAATACCCGGATAAAATAAATTGTTTATTAAAATTTTTTAGAAGAGAAACTTATTGTAAATTTTAAAAATTTTCATAATTAACAAAATTTTTCTTTTTTTTTTTTTCAAATTATTTTTATTGTAGCGCTCGTATTTTCCGGGGGAAGTTCGTAAGTATTTAATAATATTGTTTAATAAAATACTAAAAAAATTTTAGTAAAGAACGCAAAATACTTTTAAATATAACTTACGTTATTTAACCAGAATTACTATCGTAAGATTCTTAAAAAAATATCTTGTACAATATTACTTGATATAGATTCATATGAATTCAGATTTGTTTCCGAGTCATTTTTGACATCGTGCAACTGGTAGTTAATTCTGTATGGTGATTGAGCAGTTGAACTTCAAGTTGAGTATTTTCGGATTTTTCGTTATACATAGAATGCAGCTTACGGCAATAAAATGTGTTAGCGTTAAATATGTGTTGGATAGACAGTTTTTAAAGTCTATTAAGAATAGTTTCCTTCATTTGGATAATATTAGTCATGAGCTAAATTAATTATGACCTATTCCGATAATGGACTAATAAGAATAAAATTATTGTTATTGAGTGTTGGTATTGGAATTACATTGAAATTTTGAATAAATCTGCTTCTATTAACGGAATTTTGCATTTAAATATAAAGCGAGATAATATTTTTGGCACCGTATCCGTCATTACATTGCTGTTGTACAACAAATATTGTGATTATTAATTTATTGCTTTTGTTTACGGAAAAAATAAGGCTATATAGCAACAGCATCAGTGTTTTTTAAAATATTACAAAATTTTAATACATTAATTTTTGTTGTATGAAAATTATTACTATTATAGTAAAACAAATGAAAAATTAAACGAAAAACTTCTCGAGTCTAGATTCCATAAGAACTGCTACAATTTATTTATCAAATTTTTAAATTAAAAACTCATTGTCTCTAATTTCGGAATAAAAACTCATTTAGATAGTTTAAAGTTTTTAAACATTTTATATTTCAAACCCTAAACTATATAAAAAAAAGGTAATTTAAAAGATATTATTTAAACAGAGGGAGACTAATTCAATATGAACTTAAGCTAATTTTACAAGATTCCACACACACTTAAGACACAATAATTTAATTTTAAAAATTTAGAAACAACATCTTTATAAAATTTTCATTCTATACAAATATAAATAAGAAACTTACATTTTATTAAATTTTCCCAATTTCTTGTAAATTAATTTCAAAAATTCATTATTAACTCTATAGCACTTAGTTACTGATTGAAAGTTCTTACTAATTTACCCACTCTAATATATATATGTATATATAGCATTGGTGCATTTAATAATATAAACACGTACATATAACATATACCAAAAAATAATTTTATTTTTGCAAAATATCCTATTGAAAAAGAAACATTTATATAAGTGGTTACTTGATTTCATCAACAGACATGAAAAAATCATCTTATTTATATACTATATACGTATGTACCATTTATAATCCATTTACCATACTAACACCTGTTAATAGAAAATCTCAATTTTATCCTTCTTTTTTAAATTACCTACTACATACTACACTCGTAAATATCTTTTTTTAATCTTAAAACTTAATTTTTGATTAATAATGAAATAAAATTGAAGAATACTTCAAATCATCACTTTTCAACAGATATAATATTGTGTACATAACACAAACATGTACACATCATAATAGAAAAAAATGGAAAAATAAATTTTCTTTATTGATTTATACCTTACCAATCTTTGAAAGGCATCTCATACAAGTGCATATTATATGTATGTATGTACATTCAGTTATATTGTGTGTGTAATGAATTATTTACCTTAATGTTATGTACTGAAAATTTCATTCCCATATTCCATATTAATTTCGTATGAGTATATCACATAAATAAATGTAAATTTAATATATAAGTTGTTGAGTTTTAAGAACAATTGTAAAAAAATATTGGAAACAAGATCTTCTTATTAATTTCTTTTTGCCTGCTTGTCTATCCATAAGTTTGTTTTGTATACTTCTGAGCCCTTTAAAATAGAAAGCAAAAACTTTTGTATATAATGTCATTTGCAAATGTCATTTTTTAAGAATTTATGGTGTCGGAACCACAAACAATTTTTGAATTAACGAATGATTTACTCGGAAGTTTTTTCCGGCTTCTCCCCTTTCGAAATTGTTATCTTTCAAAATTGACAACAATATAATCCGATATCTAATTTTTTCGAATTTCTTTAAAAGTCAAACACTAAAGGTAGTGTTACTTAGTTGCCGGATTCGACTGTTACATTAATGTTTTTCAGTTTTGGTTTTTATTCCTTTAGTTTTGGTATTTATACTCCAAGAATGTAGTAATTGCTATTCCATGCTATAGTATATACTAATTTTTACTAAAAATAAACGTGCTGCTTTCCGCATAATAGGCGATTTTATCCCATTTTATTTTTTACTCTTTTCAACATAAAAATTTAAGATAAAGTTCCTGGAAGCTTTATGTAGTAGTACCATTAATATACTATTGGAGTATTACATAAATATAATAGTTAGTTTTATATATGTATATTAAACTTGAGTTAAGTTCGATAGCTATTTAATATACGCACCTTACATATAAACACCTTTATAAAGAAGAAAGCAAAACTTAAATAATGTGTAAAGTTTTCAAATATGTACTTCATTCCGAATCAACGCATTCAGTATGTGTACTAACATCTTTGGGCTAAATTATTTTTTGTGATAAAACGACTATAGTGAATGTTCACATAAGAATTTTATAATTAATATTGTTTAATTTTCTGCTTATAATCATGAAAATTTTAATTACTTTAAGCCTAAAGGCCTAATTAAATACAGTTTAACTATAATAAGAAGTATTCGTTTAAGAGAGTCTAAATATCTCTGCTAATCAAATTGTTTTCTCAGTTTCTGGAATTTTAGAAGAATTTTCTTAGTTTCTCGAATTTTCGAAGCATTCGCATAAGAAAAATTGCTTTATGACCCTAATTTGAGAATTTTACCTGCAGTTTTGCGCGACTTCTGCTCATAGATTGTAGATTGTCAGTTGAGGGCTGTTCCGCAAGTCCAATATCAAAGGGGCTAAATAACCTTTTGTAAATAACCGCCACAGACACAAGTTATACACTATTCTTGATTCCTTAAGGAATCAGATACTGCACAATGAGTTGGATACAACATTTGGAGGGTCCAGATAATTGTATCCAAGGTATAAGAGATTTCTCCTGGCCTCATTTCGCATCCCTCATTTCCTCTGATTCCACTTCAACTTTTTTCTACCAATGGAATGTAAAACCCAGAAAAAATTTAGGAAAAACTGAGAATATATTTCCTGAAAATGAATATTTCTCAGCGACTGAGGTTTTGCTTTCCAAACTCGAAATGAACTTCTTGAACAAATCATCGATAGTGTCATCCGCCGCCACATATGCTAGGCAGACATTTTAATTTAGTATATCCTTGCCATCTACCACCTTGACGCTAGTCCCATCACATGATTTTAACACACTGCCAATACTGAGTATTCTATCCCTGGTGTCTTAATTTTTAAATTTAATGAACAACCATTCAAAAATTCAAGTTAATTAGAAAAAAATCATTAGCAATATTGACCGAATATATTAAAAAAAACATAATACTACTTGGAGGGCCTACCCTCCGTTAGTTCAGTAAGATTATTTATATTAATTTTTAGTTATTCCATTATACCCAAGACTCAGAACCACATAAATTATTATTCAATGTATTGTAGAAAAGTAGAAAGAAAGATCATAATAAAAGGTTGAGTTGTCATTCAAATACAAAAAATATTAACTTTCGGTTTTACTAATAGAAAACCGAAACGATCTAAAAAATAAAAATAAAAAAGAGCAAAAATTTCGAAAATTCAATTGAGAAGTTACTCTCAAGAGTATTCGAGTTTTTTGTTTTCCCATCTTTTTTTTTCCTTTTAAATGAATACCAATATCAAAATTTAACATCTACCCAAAACGTCAATTTTATGAAATTTGTTTTTTTTTTTGGGTAAATCAAAATTCTAGGTATATACGTGTGTAAGGTAAAGTGAATATAAAAAGTGGTTTTTTATTTACAAAATAAAATTCAGTTTTTTATTCTTTTCACATTACATATGTCACATACATGTCAAAAATTTAATACACTCAAAAACGTGACTATACATATGTATGTGGGTTATAATATATTCGAATATATTATATCCTTACAATATCCTTGTTTATAAATATTAATAAAAAAATGTAAATGATATGGAATTTTCCTATAAATTTTCTTGTTTTTGTTCTTGCACAAAAAAAATATGAAGCCTTGAGAACTAGAAAAAATGGAAAAATGAGCATTATATAATTATACGATAAGAGCTTCGAAATAAGTTGTAAATCGATATCATGAGTTTTAAACAAAAACAAGATCAGACAAAAATAACAGAATTTGCAAGAAAATTACATATTTATGTGCTGTACATTTCGTATTATATAAGTAGATGTATTTTATACATTTAAATATACATACAATATTTCCGGGTTAGATATAATTTCTTATAGTGTATATGATATTCTTTAATATTAATTGACTACGTTTACATGAGTGTGATCATAAGAAGATGAGCTATTTCATAAAAATTTTATATTTTTCCATAAAATCAAAAAATATTTTCAATACATATATGTATTCTTTCTAAGGAGGAATCATGAATGGAAACGATGAAATGAGGTCGGTATCAGAATCTTAAGGGACAATGGTATGCCAAATCAACCTGTCTGCAAACCATATGTTACGACATACAGCACTATTGATAACCTGTCTAAGGAGATCATCATTGCGTTTTGTTAAAGAGAAATCCAAGCCTCAACACGAAATAATTAAGGGTGCTAAGATGCGATTTCGAAAGGAATGGCGATCGCACATTTTCATTCTTTATGGACGAGTAATCTGCAGCGTCTCTAGAGAAAATAGATTATCGGTCTTTCCAAAATTTGTTCCAGGTTCTACACGAGCCGGCTGCTTCAAACAGAGTTACATTTCGTTGTCACTTCGCAGTCGAATCAGAGAAAATGGAGATATATTATCAACACATCAACCATTCAAT